TTTCAGAAATTTTCGACAATAGACACGAGAGTTATTAAGCTTCAAACAGGGTGAAAAAATTATTTGTATTTCCCGAATTCAAAAATAAAAAATCTTGGAAGGGTGATTTCTTGACCGATCGCCATAACTTTTCCCCTGTTATATATAACAGCAGGGAAAGTAATTACCAGGAGTATGAGTAAAATATCTTTTCTAAACTAGAGAAAGGTATCAATTTGAATGATTATCAAAAAAAAAAAATAAAACACTATCCTAACATATTCCGTATAGCTCACAGCCTAACACACACACCCTTTCTATGACGTCATGAAGTATAGATTTAACGATGACCCCGAACTGTTAATTACACGAAGTTCAAATTAAAGGGGCAAGCGTCACTAATAACAAATGACATTTAGATAACCCTTATACATGGTATATAAAACTATAGTATAGTCCTAAATAATCTAAGCTAAAGGTAACGTCTATAAATAAACTTTATAGATTAATACTAAATTATTCTCTAAACGAAATTATTATTTTTTATATTCATAAACACGAGTGTTACAAGTTCTCTAAATGTTTTACAAATTTCGATTCGACTTCGTAATTACGATGAAGTGACGTCAGTTACCACGTGAGATTCATCTTTCACCATGGACTTTTTTTTTTTTTATTGCAGTTTTAAATATGCTTTCAAATGGCGTATTTTAAAGTTACTTTATTAAATTTAAAATATAAACTGAAAAAAAAACATTGAGGCATCGTATCGCTTCTATTACAAACTTTTTAAAAAATGTCTCCTTCGTGACCACGTGAGGTATTATCCAATAGAAAGTAACGATCTAACTAAGCCTTTAGCTTCGATCTTTATCTAATTTAAGCTTAATTTTATTCAAATTGTTTTAATTTGAACGTTTTCGATAATTTTAAATAAACAATACGACCACATCTAATAATAATAACTCTACTTCTTGCCCTTACATTATTATTCTTCGACGTATTTTCGGTTTATATTTTAGGGCTTAGCAAACACAGCAATCGAGTATTTCAAAACAATTTATTACACTTTGCTAATTATAAAATTTATTATAATTGTAAACAATTTTATATTCGATTGCTGTGTGTGATAAGCCGTAAAATATAAATTACAACGGCTTCCGTTAATGTAAGAATTACGTTGAATAACACGACAACTAATTCTTATTATGCTTAATGTCCAGATACGTGGACTGTCATGGCGGCACTTCCTATTCCAGTCTCGACACCAGAGCGGTTTGGAGACATGTCACGTGACGACGCGAGCGAACGGCGCGTGTTCTGCTAGTGCAGTTGTTTCGAATTTTCGCCAGCTTGTTAATTTTTTTTTTTTTTTGTCATGGCAACTCATCGCTGATTCCAGCAAACAAAAGAAAGGAAACAGTGGGGACGCACGTTCTAACTTAACCTAACTTATTCTAATAAATTACCAATTAAATTACTAGAATAGGTTAGGTTAGGTTAGAACGTGCGTCCCCAGTTTTGTTTGCTGGCATCAGCGGTGAGCCGCCATGACAGCCGCCGACGCTGCCGCGTTCGCTCGCGTCGTCACGTGACATGTCGTCTCCAAACCGCTCCAGTGTCGAGGCTGGAATAGGAAGTGCCGCCATGACAGTCCACGTATCTGGACATTAACCCTTATGATCAAAGCTTTTAATAAGTTAGATATGAATTGACTGATCACACTATAAAAAATAATTGAATTCAATTAAGTCTGAATGAAATAAACATTTAACAGAATTACGGTCTGATATTTTAGATTTATTGTTGATTAAGTGAATATTAAATTTATAGAATATCAAATATTGTATTCAAATGTTTATTTCTACATTACAAATGTTTAAGTAAACTTTCCTTTCATGACAGTGTCTAACCGTTACCGCTAAGGATTAGAAATATGGATGTAAAAAATAAGAAAATCGCTACTATTCAGAAGTAAAGAAGCTTCGAGTTCGTGCCTTTTTACCTTGCTTGTGGCGATTCTTTCACTGTAATTTTATCTCGGTTCTGAAGTTCCTTCTGTTTCATCACATTACATTATTATTAAAACACTTATAATTAAATTTATTTCTACATCTAAATCCCAATCCTCACTCCCAACAATTCTTACAACTCAATCTAGACATCGATTTACCATGCAACAAATCGTAAATATAAATTTTCCTTTCTTCAAAAATTAATTCACCATTCATTTTCTGGTTATTTTGTAAGTTGTAGTAAATGCATGTATCTTATTACAATTACTTATTCACTGTTATAAAGTTACATTATAAGGTTTTCTTTACATTAAAATACTTACGTCGGATAACAGTTAGAGCATACTCCACACATCACTATGACAAACAGCTGTTTAATCTCATTTGCATAAGGACGCGAACCGTTCAATTATATTTGCATATTAGGCACTCTTGAGTTATTTATTTATTATTTTTATTTTATTATTATAATAATTCTAACCAATTATTATAAATTTCTGTACTTACATTTTTATTGATATTATTTTTCTGGGGTTTATTTATTTTATAGTTTTCTTTAAATTTTCTCTTATACCAATTTCTTTCTCTGTGTAAAATTTTTACGTTGTTTTTATCTATATTACAATTAATCGAGTTCCGTTTTGGACAGGTTTTAATCTCAAAAACGAATCTCAAATTATTAATTACCGTATTTATTTTCCGTTAAAAAATCGACTCGCGCTAAATTCGGGGTTTAAGTAATGGAATGTAATATAAACAAGGTCATTTTCCTACAGAGGTTGCCTGTGTTATCAGCTATACAGTAGAGCGTCGTTTATCCGAAAGCTGGTTATCCGAAACGTCTGTTATTGGAAAGCATTCAAGTCGGCAAATTTAAATTTTCGCTAGTGCTGTGGCGCTGCAATCTTCGGCTATTTCTTGGGTTACTCAAATATTTTACGTTTTTGATACTAAATTAACATCTGAAGTATAATTTTTTATTGTTTTTATATTTTTCAATATATTTATTTTGTTTGTACAAAATAAAAAATAATTTTTAACGATACAATAGTCTTCGTTAGGCTTAACATCGACGAAAATTCAACGCAAAGCAACACGCAACGGAGAAAATTTCAACATGGGATAAATTAATATATTTTTTTGTACATGATTTGTTATCTGAAAAATAAGTTATCCGAACCACCCCAGTGCCCAATTGATTCGGATAAATGACGCTCTACTGTATTTCAATTCATGGATGTAGCAACATAAGGCAGCGTGGACTGTTTCCCACATTAATTAATGCCCAGTCACTCTCTGTCTCTGCCAGCCAGCCCCCAATGCTACCGCCACTGGAATTAAAAATAAACAGCATTAAAAAACATGCTAGTAGTAGTTGAGCACTGGATGAAACAAAAACAAGAACATCAAACTCACATATTAGATAATAACAACTCAAAGCCCGAGAAATATAGAATAAATCACCAAATGATCGCCTGAATATCGGGCTATAATTATTAATTTACTTAAGAGATGGTGCATAACGTCTATCTCTATTGTCAAATTACTTTATACAAATCATTTAATTAGCCATATTATAGCCTGATATTAAGGCGATCGTTTGGTGATTTACTCACATATTAGAGTGATCTATGCCATTTGTGAAAATTGCAACACTGAAGGAATTATCCAATTAGAATAAAATTTTGGTCACACACTATGACTGCACATAGGTGATTAAATTTTTATAACAATTCAGCATTTATGACTTCATAAAATCAGTATCTTGTAAAGCCTCCATGAGCTACAATAAGAGCTGCTACATGTTGTGGCAATGAATTGAAAATGAAAAGGCTTTTGATGGTGTAATGGTGTCCCCAGAATTTCTTGTCAGATAGCTTGTAAGCACATCCATAGTTCATTGGTACTGACTACTGGAGGACTTGATGGATCAGTTGACCTTATCCTGCAAATGTTCTTGATAACGATGTTCAGTAGGTGACATATCTGCTGAATGGGTAGGCCAACAGCCATGAAACAAACAAGAATAAAATTCTGCCTTTTTTTTTTATTGATCATTGTCATATGTATCACTGATTTGCATATGCAAGAACCTGCCATATCAATATAGCACCTCATTGCACAATAATATGTTTCAAGTAATTGTGGGCTAATGCATTTTTAAAGTAGCCTACATACTGATGCTAAGTCTATGCAATCTAGGTGATATGCAGGTGATCCATACTCAGAAATTTCTGGTTACAATCCTGTTGATTATAAGTTTTATAAAGTAGTTGTAAATGAAAATGTTTTCTAATTACTAAAAATGTGTGATTTCTTACGGGCTACAAGCGATACAATTAAGAGAAATGATAACATATATAATTATTTTCTGAAATGTAAACAGCATTCAGCTTTGCATAACAACATAATGAAAAGAATCACTATTTTCATCTTACTGTATACCTGTAATAATGACTGAGAATTGACTTAATATTAATATTAAAAACACTTGCCAAACCAGAAAATCCAGCAGTATAAGATTAATTAAATAAAAATGAACATTTTTGACAAACTTAAGTGGTCATCTTCAGGTTGAAAAGTAATTTAGAAGGTATAACAGAGTTTGAAACAATGTTTGAATATAGCATGGAGTTTAAAAAATCCAAATGTAGCATGATATTATTGGTTCTCTTACATGTGACTGATTATATCAAACTAGGTTTATGGGATGATAAAATAAAGATCATGCATAGGAGAATGTTTCTGCCTCCCTATAATTAATTGCCATGTCTTTAAATGATACCTTGAAAATTTCCAATCTTTCTAGGTGTTTTAAGTTTGACCAATCAGAGCTAAGATTTATATGTATTATTTTATACTCAATAACATATCAACATAAATTACTAAACAGAATATATCGGAAACAGTACTGGTTACATATTGAAGAGTGAAAAGAAGCAAACAAGAGGCAACTAAGGAAACTGCTTGGTCAAGTGGATGAGTTATTTGAAGGTACAAAATATAATGAGTATAAAAGATGCAAAGGAAGTGTATTATAAGAAAGATGGCATGGCAGAAGTAAAAGAGATATGCAGAGAGGAAGAGTGCTGCAGGAATCTGAATTTATCAGATTCCTGCAATTNTTGTGACGAGTGTAAACAGAAATTTACACAAAAGTCAAGCTTAATATTACACCTTAGAACACACACTGGAGAAAAGCCTTACAGTTGTGACGAGTGTAAACAGAAATTTACACAAAAGTCAAGCTTAATATTACACCTTAGAACACACACTGGAGAAAAGCCTTACAGTTGTGACGAGTGTAAACAGAAATTTACACAAAAGTCAAGCTTAATATTACACCTTAGAACACACACTGGAGAAAAGCCTTACAGTTGTGACGAGTGTAAACAGAAATTTACACAAAAGTCAAGCTTAATATTACACCTTAGAACACACACTGGAGAAAAGCCTTACAGTTGTGACGAGTGTAAACAGAAATTTACACAAAAGTCAAGCTTAATATTACACCTTAGAACACACACTGGAGAAAAGCCTTACAGTTGTGACGAGTGTAAACAGAAATTTACACAAAAGTCAAGCTTAATATTACACCTTAGAACACACACTGGAGAAAAGCCTTACAGTTGTGACGAGTGTAAACAGAAATTTACACAAAAGTCAAGCTTAATATTACACCTTAGAACACACACTGGAGAAAAGCCTTACAGTTGTGACGAGTGTAAACAGAAATTTACACAAAAGTCAAGCTTAATATTACACCTTAGAACACACACTGGAGAAAAGCCTTACAGTTGTGACGAGTGTAAACAGAAATTTACACAAAAGTCAAGCTTAATATTACACCTTAGAACACACACTGGAGAAAAGCCTTACAGTTGTGACGAGTGTAAACAGAAATTTACACAAAAGTCAAGCTTAATATTACACCTTAGAACACACACTGGAGAAAAGCCTTACAGTTGTGACGAGTGTAAACAGAAATTTACACAAAAGTCAAGCTTAATATTACACCTTAGAACACACACTGGAGAAAAGCCTTACAGTTGTGACGAGTGTAAACAGAAATTTACACAAAAGTCAAGCTTAATATTACACCTTAGAACACACACTGGAGAAAAGCCTTACAGTTGTGACGAGTGTAAACAGAAATTTACACAAAAGTCAAGCTTAATATTACACCTTAGAACACACACTGGAGAAAAGCCTTACAGTTGTGACGAGTGTAAACAGAAATTTACACAAAAGTCAAGCTTAATATTACACCTTAGAACACACACTGGAGAAAAGCCTTACAGTTGTGACGAGTGTAAACAGAAATTTACACAAAAGTCAAGCTTAATATTACACCTTAGAACACACACTGGAGAAAAGCCTTACAGTTGTGACGAGTGTAAACAGAAATTTACACAAAAGTCAAGCTTAATATTACACCTTAGAACACACACTGGAGAAAAGCCTTACAGTTGTGACGAGTGTAAACAGAAATTTACACAAAAGTCAAGCTTAATATTACACCTTAGAACACACACTGGAGAAAAGCCTTACAGTTGTGACGAGTGTAAACAGAAATTTACACAAAAGTCAAGCTTAATATTACACCTTAGAACACACACTGGAGAAAAGCCTTACAGTTGTGACGAGTGTAAACAGAAATTTACACAAAAGTCAAGCTTAATATTACACCTTAGAACACACACTGGAGAAAAGCCTTACAGTTGTGACGAGTGTAAACAGAAATTTACACAAAAGTCAAGCTTAATATTACACCTTAGAACACACACTGGAGAAAAGCCTTACAGTTGTGACGAGTGTAAACAGAAATTTACACAAAAGTCAAGCTTAATATTACACCTTAGAACACACACTGGAGAAAAGCCTTACAGTTGTGACGAGTGTAAACAGAAATTTACACAAAAGTCAAGCTTAATATTACACCTTAGAACACACACTGGAGAAAAGCCTTACAGTTGTGACGAGTGTAAACAGAAATTTACACAAAAGTCAAGCTTAATATTACACCTTAGAACACACACTGGAGAAAAGCCTTACAGTTGTGACGAGTGTAAACAGAAATTTACACAAAAGTCAAGCTTAATATTACACCTTAGAACACACACTGGAGAAAAGCCTTACAGTTGTGACGAGTGTAAACAGAAATTTACACAAAAGTCAAGCTTAATATTACACCTTAGAACACACACTGGAGAAAAGCCTTACAGTTGTGACGAGTGTAAAAAAAAGTTTATACAGAAGTCAGACTTAATTAAACACCTTCGCATTCACACTGGAGAAAAGCCTTACAGTTGTGACGAGTGTAAAAAGAAGTTTGCAGACAAGTCAAACTTAATTAGACACCTTCGGACCCACAACATACGAAAGCCATATAAATGTTAATTACGTCCAGCGAAATTCATTCCAAACCATGATTAAAAAATACGTTAGAATACTTAGAAGTTTTGAACAAATACTATTTTTAATTTCTATTGATGTATAATGATCGAAAGATGTAAGCAAAACTGGTTTTAAATTAAAGTGATGTTTTTCCATTTTTCGAAAAGTTCCAAGTTAAAGGCATTGTATACTGAATATATAATTGAAATATTATGTAATACTTTCTTGAATAAAGAATTGTTCCATAGATTCTTGCTTGTATTAATTACGGTTAATCTTAATTTATTCGATTCTTAATTAGAACAGTGCATATTTTGTTGTAATTCATAATTCAGTTAATCCTCGCATATTCGAACAGTACTACAGTAAGGTCTCGTTTTATGCGGTGGATACGTTCTACAGAAAAGCGCATAAAAAATTCGCATAAAAAAGACTTTACTTGCCTTGAAAAAGTAGGGATACGTTCCGTAATTTTCTAAAATCGCATAAAACCAAAACAACGAGTTACAATTAACTTAAAACCGCATAAAAAAACTTTGCAGAAATTAAAAGAAATAGGCTGCTTAATAAATTACTTCGAATGTCTGAAATTCGTCATAATCTTTTATTCTCCTGTCTCATATTATAGGTAGTTAGTTATTCAATGTAAACGTCTACAATAACAATTCCAATTGAGACTTATCTTTTACATACCATTTGCATTCTGTATATAAATTTTTTGAGTAGACATCCTTTCAAAAAATTTTTTATGAAATTCACGAACAGCACTTCCTCATAAAAATTTATTGGTGTTTTAGTAAATGTGTACACTGTTTATCTGTAAGTTTCAAGTTATATATATATATAACTTGAAACTTACAGATAAATGGACATATCTGTACCTATATTTCACTCTGCAGCCAAAACTACACATCGCACATGAATGGTGTTTGTGTGTTGTAGTAGCCCCAAGTGTCCCATCGTGCAGTATGGTGGTTGCGTCTCGATAGCTTGAAGGGTGTGAGAGATATGGGGTTTGAAAGTGGTTAACTTCGAAGATGTGTGACGCTTCAATGAGAATGTTCCAGTTTTTTCTAGAAAGTTACAGAACCTAGAGGTGAAATTTGGTACCCAGTTAGTGTGCGTCATGAAAACGCACACTAAGAAGTGATTTTTCGAAATTCCCCCGCGGGGGGAGAGGGAGAGCATTAAGGCTTAACCGGAACAACGGCTTCTACTGCACTATTTTAGATGCGATTTTTTGTTTTATCTGCGTTTTAGTAGGGTATGCCATGAGAATGCACACTAAGAAGAGATTTTTTGAAATTCTCCCGGGAGCGGGAGAGTGAGAGGATTTAGTCTTCATCGAGTACTTAGGTGTATTAAATTAATAACATTTCAGACAATGTTATAAATATTTTTATTTATTTCGATTTTTTAGCCAAATGTTCGAACCGTTTTAAATTCGAATTTCTTTTCGCTTATTGGTTCGATTATAGAACGATTGTAAACGTTCCAGAAAATTTATCAAATTAAAAACAGTTCAGTCCGTTTATTTCTCATCATTCTCAGCGGTAGGTGTTACATAACAATTATTATGGTTGTTGAAATATTGAATGTAAATAGGGTTTGCTTGCAAAATCCGCGCGAGCAAAGCCACGGTTAACAGCTAGTTTAAAAATAAAATTTATATTTTTTAAATGATTTAGCCTAGAGAATTGATTAAAATTTCTGTGTGTGCAACATAGATTGAATATAAATTTGTCTCATATTTAATTAAAATCGTTCTNTAAAATTAACATCTGAAGTATAATTTTTTATTGTTTTTATATTTTTCAATATATTTATTTTGTTTGTACAAAATAAAAAATAATTTTTAACGATACAATAGTCTTCGTTAGGCTTAACATCGACGAAAATTCAACGGGAAGCGACACGCAACGAAGAAAAATTTCAACATGGGATAAATTAATATATTTTTTAGTACATGATTCGTTATCCGAACCACCCGAGTCCCCAATTAATTCGGATAAACGACGCTCTACTGTAATTACATAAATAAATGCTTATCTGATTGAATTTTACTTTTTTTGAATTCTTTTATGAGTATTATTTTTTTTCTAAATATCTCTATGAAAATTTTGGAGTCACGTTAAATTCGGGGTCGCGTTATATTCGGGCTAATACGGTATTATTAACAGACCCAAAGCCATTAGACAGAGAATTTATGAACATCTGCTTTCATTTATTAACTTAAAAGACTTAAAGTAATCCTGTTTCTAATGAATATTATTTGAATAAAATAATCCTTTCTGAAAATATTTCAAATCGATTAATGTTTTCACGTAACACGTGACGTAAAAATATGATTGATCGTAATGCGTCACGCGTTCTTAATATATTCTAACAATACGTAACGAATTGTTAGAATGTATTGTTGGCTTTTTCTATTGTCAGTGGCCATCGTTAAGAGTAAATTTGTTCGAAAGTTCCGCGTTTCTTTGAGATTTTGCGAAATATTGCAATTAAGTAAACTTCAATAATGTACGGGAGGCAGAAAGGCCTCTCTGTGTCTCCTTTTCCTTAGGCCTGCTCGAGTAAAGAGATGGAATCTCCCGTTGGCTTTTTTACTCGAGCTACTCTTTACTCAAACTAACTCTTTGTGTCCCGCATCTTTAGGGCCGACCGGAAATAGAGAGGGTTTTCTGTGTTTCGCTTTATTAAATCCCGCGTAGGGCGACTATTATTTTTATTTTTTATTTCTTTTTTGTGGTTAATGAGGTTTGGTATGAGATTGAACTAAATTTTGTGGCCTTAACGTGCATTTTATTACGACCAGGTTATTTATAGATTTTTATTTTTCTTTATTACTAGTTTTTGTAATATTGCATCCCTTAGTTTAGTTAGTAACAATACGGTGAGTTTCTAATAGCTGAATTCGGAGTATTCAGAGGTAATTATAAATATTTTCATTGTGCGAGTTAGGAAGAACGCGACACGACAATTGATGTTGGTCATTTGTGGAGTGGCATTCTTTCCAACTCTTGGTGGAACTCTGAAGCAGCCACCTCCACGTGGTGAGTTCTAGGTTGTCGTTCGTCTGGAAATAACCAACGGCAGGCAAAGAGCTGCTTATTCCATTTTATCCATTCGGCTGCTGCTGGGCAGCTTTCTTATGCCATTGATGTTGAAAACGCAAAAGTTGAAGTTGAAAGCGCAAAAGTGATGCTTATGATGTTGAAAGCACAAAGTTTTTTGGAGTTTCGTTGAAAAAGTCGCGTACAAAATCAAATTTAAATTTATTATAAACTGCTGGTAAGTAATTTACAATTGTCCGTCCTGTGATTTATTATCTGTCATTGTGTTCTCATCCATCTACATCGAAAGTTGAACACTGCTCAACTCGCTTTTACGCTGGTTTTACGTCCTGCTCAGGCGTAAAATATCATGGTCACGTGATTAAAAGCTTTTAAGGCGAGGGGTTTTACTCCTGTTTTTTACGCTAGTGGAGTCTAGGCCTTATGAGGGAAGTACCCTGTATACTTAACACACGTCTTTTAAAAATACAATATTCTTTTTATCTAAATGTAACATATTATTCACACCAAAATATCGTATAATGCTTCCAACGATTCCATCCAGGACTGGTTCTGGGCTGTTAGCCACCTGCGTGCTAGATATTTGGCCGTCCTCGCCCCATTATGTGAATCGCGAGTAGATTTATAACTTATAGCAATTTACTAGTATGATTTTATGATATGATACTTGACAGGAGTTTAAAAAAATCCATTAAAATATTTGATATATTTATTCTGCTTTTATTCCGCTCCCCCAATTTTGTATTACTTACAGATTTCAATGTTAACGGTATTCTATATTTCCCTCAAAGTTTAAAAAGTACAAAGCGTTTGGTACAGATCGGGTAAAAGGCTTAGACGTTAAACGGATACCCGGAGAGAATACTCAAAAAATGAGAAAGTAAATTGAATAGTAAAGGACAACAAACTAAAAAGAATAGTAAGAATATAGATATAAAGTATCAAGCTTTTCCTCATATTCGAGGCTTTTTTGAACAAATAAACAAGGGCTTTAATAAAATAAACATTAAACTTGTCCCAACTTATGAAAAATTGCAAAAAGAATACAGAAAATTAAGCCTGAAATAAGCAACAAAATAGAAGATAAATATAACACAACGAACGTAGTATATACAATACCATGTACAGTACATGTGAATATCCAAAAAAAATTATATATGCGAAACGAAAAGGAGAGTAGAAACGAGATTAAAAGAAAACATTGCGGACTTAAAGTATAAAAGAATTAATTTAGCTTTTTATGAACATTGCACAATGCATAATTATAATATAGATAAAAACCATGTAAAAATTTTACACAGAGAAAGAAATTGGTATAAGAGAAAATTTAAAGAAAACTATAAAATAATTATACCCCAGAAAAATAATATCAATAAAAATCTAAGTACAAAAATTCATAATAATTGTTAAATTTATTATAATAATAAAATAAAAATAATAAATTTATAATTCAAGAAGGCCTAATATGCAAATATAATTGAACGGTTCGCGTCCTTATGCAAATGAGATTAAACAGCGCTTTATGCGGCGTATGCTCTAATTGATATCCAACGTAAGTATTTTAATGTAACCTTTTAACAGTGAATAAGCAATTGCAATAAGATATATGCATATACTACAACTCAGAAAATAACTAGAAAATGAATGGTGAAATAATTTTTGGGGTAAGGAAAATTTATATTTACGATTTGTTGCATTATAAATCTATGTCTAAATTTAATTATAAGAATTGTTGGGTGTAAGGATAGGGATTTAGATGTAGAAATAATTTTAATTATGAATGTTTTAATAATTTAATGTATTGTAATAATGATGTAATGTGAGAGAAAACAGAAGGATCTTCGAAACCGAGGTAAAATTACAGTGAAAGAATCGCCACAAGCAAGGTAAAAAGGCACGAACTCGAAGCTTCTTTACTTCTGAATAGTAGCGATTTTCTTATCTCTTACATCCATATTTCTAGTCCTCTGCTCTAACGGTTAGACACAGTCACGAAAAAAAAAGTTTACTTAAACATTTGTAATGTAGAAATAAACGTTTCATTACAATAATTGATAAACTAAATATTAAAATCTGTAGAATATCAACCATAAAAATTAAAATATCGGCCAGTAATTCTATTCGATATTTACATTTCGTTCAGACTTAATCGAGGTAATTAATTTTTTTA